TATAAAGTTGATATTTAATTTGAGACAAAAAATATTCAAGATCAATATTTACTAATTTTTAGTAATTATTACCTTGTTAATTATTGCAAAAATTGCAAAATAGAACATTTCGACTCAGTTTAGTCCGCTCTATCTATATACACAAAAGCGAAAAATTTCCGGGGCACCCTGTATATATACAGCGAGAATACAAAATTAGAACAAAATTCTTATAAAAAAAGCTTTATTTGTAGAGAATATACAAACAACAATTAGTTGTTTTACAATGAATACATTCCGTTCTGATATAAGCAAGCGAGTATTGCATGTGTTTCTGATTTTAGAAGCTAATTTTTTATTTGTACGAATAACTTTTGTGCGTCCAAGTAACGTCATTTTAAATTATCTCTAATTTTAAAGTAATATACATTATTTAATTACTACTCTTTTTAGTTCAATAAAATTTTTTGAGATAAACAATTTACTTTATTCTTTATTTGGGTTGAGTGCCGCGCTTGCTCACTGTGAACCGAAAACACATCAACGGTCGTTATGGCAAAAATTCATTTCGAATTGCGGTTCGAAATGATTGATCACATACTTACGGTATTTACCAGATCTGTCTCCTAGTGATATTTTTCTATTTCTTAGGTTCAAAGTTTGGCTCACAGAACAGAGATTTCCATCGGATGAAAAGAATATCACATTCGCAAAAATCTATTTTCCAGAGCAAGACGCAAACTACTGGTATTATTTGAACGAGTTATAGGAATGGGAGTATGGAAAAAGTATCGATTTAAAAGGAGACTATGTATAGAAATAAAACAGATTCTATCGAAAAAAATACTTGTTTTTGTGTTAGGCTGAAAACTTTTTAAACGACTCTCGTAGTTCTGCGCAATGGAACGCAAATCTTCCGCGAAATGATCAACGTCAATGATGTAGCTGGCTGCCATTGTCTAATTACAGCACCATATTATCTTGCTGCAGTAAGTAAGTAATTGAAACAGAGCGTCTGATTTCTCATTAAAAGTAAAATATCTTTAAAAATCTATAGGATTATGCAGCAACAAATCATTAATACAAATCGGTGGTTACATGTTTTTAAGGCAGGAACCGACAAGTTTGATACGACATGAAAATTAAAAAAAATATTATCTGCAATGTGTTACGATTTTTTTATCATTGGAACTTACGCTGCAAAGCCAGCGAAATAAAGGAAACTTTAATTAAAATTTAGAAACGTTAAATGATTGATTTTGATTATATCAAAATATAAAACATAATGTACCTAGTCGTATCGACATTGTCTATATTTCATCAATATTGCAGAAAAATGTCTCGTATCTTTGATCTACCCCGTACATAATAAATAAAGTAGCGGAAAGTAGTACAAACTGTGCGATAAATTGCCCATTCTACTAATGATTTATTATTATCTAATCATTTTTTTAATTCAATTTATTTATTATCCTTTAATTTATTTTATAAAATTTTTTAATAATAC